CCCCCCCCCAGCCCCTCCTGAGCAGAGCCACGCTGGGGCATGAGCCCAGTCTCCTCTCATCTTCCCCTCCTTGGGGGTACCCAGGGGCTGGAAGGACCCCAATCTTTCAAAGAAGATACTCCAGCACCTCTGGCAAGGAGAGAGCCTTAGCTGAAAGGTCAGTTTAGACCCCAGGTAAACAATCGCCTTTTTCTGTCCATCCCCAGACAAGCGTACGAACGTGAGCAGCGGAGGCTTCGCAGGCTACCAACCCCTCCTCTCCCAGAGAGATTCTTCCTTCAAACTGAAGCAGAAAGTGGAGGATAAAGGCAGTGACCCCACAAGGGACAACAGCAAGGAAAATGTTAGCAACGGTGGGGACAGCAGCGTGCTGCCATCTCCTGACGTGGACACCATGGCCACAGAGCCCACTAACTAACGCGGCGAGATGGCAGAGCCCAGCAGGGACCTGCGGGGCCCAGCACGTCCCTCTGAGCCGACACAGTCAACACGGGCGTCTCTCGATGGAGACAAGTGGGGACCAGCACAGAGCCTGGAGGGGACTACACATAAGGCAGAGATGCTCCCCTTTTCTTCAGGGAAAGGCTGCAGCCATGAGGTGCCCAGAGGCTCAGACAACCCACGGCTGTAGAGAAGGCAGTGAGGGCTGTCTCCTCTGGGCTGCCTGGGCGAGGGACCTGGACTCAACTTCCTAGACTCTGGTTTCCACCCTGGTTTTAAAGAAAAAAACAGAAAAGAAAAACCAGTGGTGGGTCCGGACCACGTGGCCCAGGGCTGCAGGTCCCCCTTGGTTTCTACCAGCAACCTTCTGTGTCGCCCGCTGCACCCCGGGGCACGTGGCCCCTCAACGGTGGCTGCCCAGAAGCCTTGGCAGACTGAGCAGTGCCTCCCTGCCGCCCCCACAGAAAGGCCGGAGCGTCCTCAACCAACACATGTGTTCCCCAAAGGTGGTTGTTAGTCGCTGGAGTCACGTAGATGTTAGTAGAAACCAACGAGCAATAAAGCTTTCAGAGCTGCTGGTACTTCTGAGGCCCTGCAGGCGCCAGGCCTCCCTCTTCGGCACCTCGGGAATTTGATTCCTACTGTAGAAATGAGACTCTTAAAAGAAATCAAACACCACCAGTGGATTTTGGGTTGGTCTGCAGAGAGTCAAGAGGGACCCAGAAGGATGATGAACTCCCCTTTGGGGGATAGGGCTGGCACAGGGGGAATATCGGGGAAGGCCAACACCTCTGTAAGGTTAATTAAGTGCTTGTAGAGGAAGGTCATAGTGCTATGGGCTTCACTTAGGTCTTCGCCCTTGAACTGCAGGACTCCCTGTTTCAGGACTCCTGGCTCAGGGTTTGGTCCAAGGCCCGTAGAAGGTGATAGCAAAGACCCCCAGGGACCACTCGAACCGGAGCCGGGGGATGTGGCAGCTCTTCAGTAACACCAGCCTGGCCTCTCTCCTCCAGCTAACTTGCTCCCTAAAAATCTGAGAACAAAAGCCGAGTCTGCCAGCAAACCTCCTTGTACCGAAATAAAACCTCAAAACCCAACCCATGCCAGCATTGGGGTTAGTTTTTCTCCAAGCACCCCTGTTTAAATACAGCCCTGTTCACCTGGGACTTGGGGTCTTTCTTGTGCGGGGCACAGAGCCCCCCACCCATCGCACAAGGGTCCCCTCTGGAAACGGGCGCTGGTAGCGAGTCCCGCATCACACCCCGGCGCCGAGCTGCTCAGGCTGATTAACTGCAGTTCCTTAGGGAGATTACAATCTATTTCCTACGCGTGCAGCTTTCAGCGTTTGCTCACACGGCTCTTCCCCTCTGCACTGTTTCTTTTTTACAATTATTTTTCCTGACTGTGAGGGAGGCCCTTTCCGCGGGTGCCGGGGGAGCGGTGCAGCTGCCCCAGGACAAAGGGGCTCTGTGTTGCCCACGAGGGTGACGGGGTGGCCCCGTGCCCCCCGTCCCACGCAGCCTTGCCAGCACACGGGTGGCTGCTCACAGGGATGGCTGTGGTGGCCCTGGCCCTGCAGAGGCTGTGGGTCAAATTCATCACCTCTCCTCTTCCTCCTTCCCACTGCCTTGCAACACAGTGGTGGGGGCGTCCTGAGCAGCGGCGGAGGCCCTGGTGCCCCCACGCACATGGTGCCCATGCAGATTTGGGGTCCCTGTGCCGTA